AGGGATGAGGGCAGCCGACGTCTCATTCAAAGTGAGGTCCTCAATCACCTGAACGTCGGGGACCTGCTCCATTTGGGCCGTAGCCCGCACAACAGCCGTAGCGGCATCCTTAGAGGATTGACCCTGCTTCGGCCTCTTAGCATCCTGGGTCGGCTTCAACCCAGCATCAGTCAAGGTTTTCTGCCCCTCAGCAGGCTTCCTCTTCTTCTGGGCCGCCGCCTTCTTCGCCGCTTCGGTCTGAGACTTGGAGCCGTCACCAGAACCTTTGGATGCCTTCCGATGCTGGTATACGAATGTGTTTTCTCTAATGGAATCAGAAGAAGCAAATTGCCTTAGCAATCATTTATCTTTTCAGTTTTCACGTCTGCCTTTTGTCACATAGATGCACTCGTTGTTCTTCCTCTATCGTTTTGTTTCAGCAGCGATCCCAGACATTGAGTTATATATATGTGATCTATTTGTGAAAAATAAAATTCTGATAGTTTATTTTTGAAAAGATTTTCAAAAGTGAATAAAAGTGATATATTTTTCACTTTTATGTCTATTTGTGATATTTTCCCTAATTTTATTCACAACCCTCTATTTACTAATCACAACCACAAAATTAAATATTAATGAATTAAATAGATACAATATCCAAATTATCCTTATTAGTATCATAGCTGAAAAATTCTATATTTTAAATTCTATATGCAGCCCCTAATGTACTAATCACAGCCACATAAATTTTAAATTCCTATTTTACCCATTTCTTAAGGTGTAACCACATGCTAATATGACCTTGTACCTTGTGTAACCACATGCTAATATGACCTTGTACCTTGTGTTAGAACGGTTGTACCTTGTGCTGTGCCATATACAGTTCCGCAGTTCCGTTAGTTAACGTGAAACACCAACCTCTGTAATCGCTCAAGGAATTCCAATGGTTAGACAAGCAAGAGTCTCTACATCTTCATACGACACAGCAGATTCTACGAGTCTGTCTTCCTCCGCCTCCATCAACCTTAAGTCGCTAGACCTATCAAGATGGTTAGACTATTTTCTATCCTTTATGTATCGCCATATATATATTATATATATAAGATTTTAGATATATTTATTGTTGAATGTTAACCATGCATAAATAGGCCTCCCTGAAGTGCTTGAATCTTGAATGATCTGGATTCTGGAATAGTTTATCAGGGATGTTGCGTCATCTCACCCTCCTTTCAACGATGAGTTTAAGAATTGGGAGTCCAAATGGTGCCAGTATTATCTCAACCAGTTGATTCTTTAGCTAAAGAACATGACTATTTGCATGTAGTCATTTTTTTTAGGAAAAATGGAAACTAATAATCCAACCTTTTAGCGGTCTTCTTACAATAGTCCCACCTTTTGATTATTCATGAATAATCCAACCTTTGCATCTCATCTTCATTCACTGGTCCCTGACCGGTTGATGACCTGCTATTCCAAGTTATTTTCTTATCTTTGCAAAATATTATCTTTATGAAATGTGAGATTTATGGTATAATGGTTTGCAAAGATAAGAAAATAACTTGGAATGGTAGGTCATCAACCAGTCAGGGACCAGTGAATGAAGATGAGGTGCAAAGGTTGGATTATTCATGAATAATCAAAAGGTGAGACTATTGTAAGAAAACCGCTAAAAGGTTGGATTATTAGTTTCCATTTTCCCTTTTTTTAAAGATATGGCCCCTTAAAAAAGATAATTATATGAATGAATGTCTAATTAGTTTAGCAATTATAATTTTTCTTAAAATAAATACGTTTATCTTTCAAACGAAAAAATTAACCGAATTAGTTCAATTGGAAAAATCTCAATATAAACAAAGAAGCAAGGTTCAGACTCATATTCTGCGGAGTATTTGGTTTCCCACCAGATTCTTCAAACAAGTGAGAACTAAAACCAAGGCAATTAACTTATTGATTAACTAATACGTAGTATTTCATTCACTAAAATACCCTGTCAGTGATCACAATGGTTTAACTTTGTGTAGTTGAATATAATGAAGGTCTGCTTATAGTGAATGGACTGGACTCAATGCAAGGCTCTTGAAGAATCTTCCACCAAATATCTGAAGGCCTTGCTGAAAGGTTATACTCCACACGCTAAGATTTTCCACCCTGGTTCGTGAGAAGAATGTGAAAATGTGAATCTAGGAGTGAAAGCAGAGTAGTTAAAGCTCTTGAAATGGGGTATTGTCTCTTTCATGTATGTATTTCAACCTATATTTTAATTTTCAAAGAGTACTCCGCTAAATCTGATTCATTTAACATTTGTGATCATGGGGTATTGTCTTTTCATGTATGTATTTAACCTGTATTTCAGAGGCCACTAAAGTTATAAATGGATTAGTTTTACACTATAGTTATAGAAGAATTGGAGTTCCATTAACATATAAGTAGTAATTTAGAAGTCACTATAGTTATAGATGAATTAGTTTGAGGAGGGCCATCCTTAGGTTTCAAACTTTCAAATATAGAAATATAGCAACATGTGAAATAATGCATAGTTGCAACACAATTAAAACTAAGATTATAGGTAAAATTGAAATGGGCCATCCTTAGGTTTCATATATGGAAATATAATACCCTAACTAACTCGATCAGGAATACTAAAAAAACGCACATTTACAATTATGGAATTCTTTATCAAGTATGTTGTGCCGTTACATTCTAGGACATTGATACATCAACATATAGTATGCAACTTCTTTCTTTACTTCCAAACCTGATGACTTACTCATATGGCTTGAATAATTTCCACCAAAAGCTTTTCCTTTTACAAAATTCAGCACTACATTCAGCCATATTAACCATGAAGTGATTGGGCAGGGTTCGGGGAAAAAGCCTAATGCAGTGATATATCCAATTATTGATCATTTAAGGGTCAAGATGTACATTTTTATGATACCCTATAGAATCTGTCCAAGAAAGTAGTTGGGTACTAATTTTCTGTTTGAAGCTCAGAAAGTGAAAGGATTATAATTATGCAGCAAAGTACCGATGAACTTTAGAAAGAAATAAAGTATGGCGAACATATGATAGTTCAAACTCATTAAGTTGATATTCAAATTTCATTCCTAAAACAAAGTAATGGACTTGAAACTAAAACCAATCGAAAGCATCAAGTTTAGAAAAATAGAAAAATAGTTAAAAACTTTTCATGTTAAGAGATAGTAGTACATTTTTTGTTATATATTAGTTATTATATATGCATGTGTTTTTCTTTTTGATGTTTTAAATGAACTCTCTTGTTTCATTCCACTTACTTTGTATGAAGTAACTTTTCATCACAAAAACATAAAAGGTCACTTAAACCGTTCTTTGAAACTAGCTGAAATGTAGGATGTTTTATGAGTATCGTTTGAGTTTTCTGTAAATTAAATGTGAAAAGAGTGGTATTTATAGTATCAGTTATTTTGTGTAAAATAGTAAATCTACTTCCTAAAACACCCATATAGGCTGCCTAGGCAGTAAATTACAGTCCACTAACCTTACTAATTCTAAACAGCTTCTCCAACTTTGTTGAGTACTTCATTTACATACTTTTATTCAAAGAACTTCATTTTATTGTCTCCGAATCATGATCACTTTGTTCATTTGCATACTCCAAATATTATATTATTTCTAATAATCCCTTTTTGTGTCTTGGTTTTGAAAATACGTTGACACATACTGTCCCTAAAGAAAATAAACTACATTTTTGTTATGAGACTGAAATATTGGATTCCAATTACCAACCATGTTTTAACCGGAAGCCTATAAAATACTACCTCCGTACCGCTAAGATTGTCTCATTTTACCTTTTCGGTCTGTCCCACTAAGATTATCCCATACCTTATTTGGAAAAATTTGTGTAGTTCTAAATCATTCTTACTTTATTCTCACTTTATCAATTCAATATCAATCACATAAACCATTTTTACGGATCTGCGTGTCACTCCCCTCTTGTCCCATTGTTAGTGGGACCGAGGGAGTATTACTTTCCTGAGTTGTATTCTAATATTTTACTTTCGGTTAGTCCAACTGTCCAAGCAAGTCTTATCCAAGTTTATAAGGTAAATTGTATGTAAAATAATGTAGGGAAAATGTGCAAATAGGCCCATGTACTAACCAAAAAAGGTCAAATAAGCCCTTATTTAGGAGGCTCTGTCCGGTCCTCGCTATTTGGGGTGGTTCCCGGTGGAATTTTTTGATGAAAGTTTTTGAGCATCTTATTGATCAAGTCTAGTTTACTCATACCAAATTTCAGCTAAAACTTCAATCGGGAAGGCATTCAAATGAATTCTTGAAAATAACTGCGCAGTTAGAAGCGCAGTTATCTTCAAGAATTCATTTAAATGCCTTCTCGATTGAAGTTTTAGCTGAAATTTGGTATGAGTAAATTAGACTTGATGAATAAGATGCTCAAAAACTTTCATCAAAAAATTCCACCGGGAACCACCCCAAATGGCGAGGACCGGACAGAGTCTCCTAAATAAGGGCTTATTCGACCTTTTTTTGTTAGTACATGGACCTATTTGCACCTTTTCCCAAATAATGTATGAAAAGTTGATCTTATGATAGTGAAGTTTTTTAAATAATGTCTTACTGTCTTCTTATGCGACTCCATATTGCAGAAGTGGAAGAATGAATGTGGTTAGCTTAGAGCACCCACAATGGGTGGTCAAGTAGGATCAAAATTATAAAGTGGTGGGAGTTGACCCCCACTATGGAAGGTTAGCATTTGATCGGGCAAGTCCAAGGGTCAAAAATGAGTTCTGACAAATGCTGGGGAAGTGGCTTTTTTTGTTTGCCGAGTTGGTGTATTGCGTGGAGGAAGGGGAGATTTCTTCTCCCACATTTGTAGCCACAAATCCCACCAACCTTTTAATTTAATATTTTATGAATTAAATTAATTTATTTTATAAAAAAAATTATATCAAAAAATCAGATTTTTTTCCCATCTATAAATAGACACCATTGAAGGATATGTTTACTCACTTCGAAATTTAGCACTTCTTTCCCTCTTGCATCTGGTTTTATCTGTTTAGATTATTTTTTCTCCCTAAAAATGGATCCAAACCGTTCTCCCCCTAGATACTACACCAATAGCCCCCCATTCCAAAGAATTCCTCGTTCTGCACAACAATCTTCTGTAAGAAATTTTCAAATTGATCCTACTCACCCGAATTTTGGAATGGCTATGCAGCTATTGCAAAATAATTCTAATTCTGTAGAATATGCTCATGCTACTGGTCCATTAAATAATGGACCCATGTTTACTCCAAAAATAAACTATTTTCCTCAAGATCTGAATCCTTTTTCTACTCAGCAGAGTTTTTTTGCTCCTCCAGTACCACAAAACTTCAACGGTATGCCTCACATGAACTTCAACCATGATCCTTCAATGTTTGCTCGTGAGGCAAGTCGTGAAAATGTGACTTCTGTTAATCTTGGAGATGAGGAGGACGAAGTTGAGGCAAACACAGAGTTAGTGTCATCACCGAGTAAGAGTACAAAGAAAAAAGATGGACGAGCGAGTACGTCAGTTACTTGGACCATCCCTGAAGATGTGGCCTTAACATGGGCATATATTCATGTTGGTGGAGACGTCTCAAAAGGTACGGATCAAAAACACCTCACACATTGGTTTAACATCACAAAACTGTATTTGGATGCACAACAGGAGCAACCAGAAAAATTAAGAGTGAGAACGTTAGAGTCATGTTGTAACCGGTTCAAACGTGCAAGCACACTCATAAGCAAATTTGCCGGAAATTATGATGAAGCCGTTCGACATCGTAAGAGTGGGTGGACTGAAGAAGATGTTATAACCGAGGCGAAGCGCCTATTTGGTGCAGACCACAATAACAAAGCTTTTCGATTTGAACACATGTGGAACATATTGAGAAATTATCCTAAATGGGGGGGTGGTGGATCAAACATGCAAAGTTCTTCCCAATTTTGTGAAAGTTATTAAATTTGAAATTTACTCCACACCTAACATCACCCATCAATTAAATACGTACGTAACAAATAAATACATACCTAACAAATATATGCATACCTACCAACTAAATGCACCTACCAACTAAATGGACCTACCAACTTCATACTTACCTAAAAACTAAATGCATGCCAACTAACATAACTCATACCAACCACATCTACCAGTCTAAATCACAACTATTTAATGTGGACACTACATTGAAGAAAAAACACACCTCAATTCAACTCCCTAAATATGTCTGCATCCTCTACCTCCTCCGACTCTTACATCGATGAATTTCAAAGTGAAGTTGACGAGTTCGTCAAGTTCAATGAAGATGTTGACGCACGACGTGAAGAGAGAAGGGCGGTAGAGAATAGCATAATATCTACTTTACCTCAATTGCTAACACAAACAATTGAGCGTCCAATCCAAAGGCGACGTTACTTGCATAGGGACCGAGACGATGCTCATAAACGTCTAATGTGTGATTACTTCATCGACAGTCCAACATATGGACAACGTGAGTTTCGTCGTCGATTTCGTATGCGCAAATGTGTCTTTGAGGGAATCATGAATGCTTTGAGTGCACATAATACATTCTTTCACCAAAAGCGAGATGCTGTTGGTCGAATGGGATTATCTGTGCAACAAAAGTGCACTTGTGCCATACGGATATTGGCGTTTGGAGTTACGCCAGATATTTTAGATGAGTATCTCAAAGTTGCAGATACAACTGGAAGAGAATGTCTCCTTCAATTTGTTGAAGGGGTCACAACCATATTTGGGCCCGAGTACCTTCGTAGGCCAAACACCCAAGACGTCACACAACTTCTTGCGGAGGGTGAAAGTCGTGGATTCCCAGGCATGATGGGTAGCATTGATTGCATGCACTGGGAGTGGAAGAATTGTCCCCGAGCATGGAGAGGTATGTTTCAGGGTAGGAATAAAAAAGCTACCCTTATCTTGGAAGCTGTTGCTTCTCGTGACCTTTGGATTTGGCATGCATTCTTCGGGACACCAGGTTCTTGCAATGATATTAATGTGCTTGATAAATCCCCCGTTTTTTATTATGTCCTAAGTGGTCACGCTCCACGTGTTCCATATGTCGTGAATGGTAATGTTTACGATATGAGATATTATCTAGCAGATGGTATTTATCCTAAATGGGCTGTCTTTGTTCAATCCATCACTGCTCCACAAATTGCCAAACACAAACTTTTTGCACAACGACAAGAGGGTGCGAGAAAAGACGTGGAACGAGCTTTCGGAGTCTTACAAGCGCGATGGGCAATTGTAAAGTACCCATCCCTAGCTTGGGATAAACAAGTATTGGGAAAGATAATGATGGCTTGCATTGTTATGCACAACATGATTGTAGAGGACAATAGGGAACAAGGAATTGAGCATAACAACGATGAAGGCCTAGTATCTCTTGATAACTTACCTACTAATATGCCATCATCAAGCAATGCAAGAACGCAACACACTAATACCTTTGCCGCTCAGCCATCGAGATTACCTACATACATGGATAATAGAGCTCGAATCCGTGAAAGGAATATACACACCGCACTAATAAACGACTTGATTGAGCACATTTGGAAGAAATTTAGTGGTGAATGGAATGACATTTAATAATTTACACATCATGTAAGCGTTTTTACTATTTTCCTATTCATGTAATCGTTTTTACTTTTTTTTTCTATTCATGTAATCGTTTTTTACTGTTCTATTCGCTTGTCTTCGATGTTATGAATAATTGAACATGTACTATTTTGGATTATGTCGTTAAATTTTTTGACAGTTACAATATATAAATATTAACATGTAAGATCATTATTAAATAAATTGTAAAATACGAATAACAGTTTTTTTAAAATAACTTTTTTTTACTTTTGCACAACAAATAAATAAAGTGTGCCAAATTATTTTGGGCTGAAATTTATTTATATGGTCTGGTCTGGTTTGATCTGATCTGTCTGAACTGGTATAGTAAACGTCTAGTCTCTGTGTATTTTATAATTACAGAAGTCAGGTCTGGTCTGTCTGATCTGGTCAGGTTTGGTCTGGGGCTGAAAAACAGTCCAAAAGAAAATATCTCAAATAACACAAATGATCCTGTCCAGACGTCCGGACAGGAACCGCCGTCCGGCCGGCGGCGTTTGGCCGCCTTCCCGGTGGAATTTTTTGATGAAATTTTTATGGCATGTTCTCTATCAAGTCTAGTTTATCCACAAAAAAATTCAGCCAAAAACTCAATCGGGAAGGTCGTCAAATGATTTTTGCAAGTTAACTGGTCCGGAATATGTATTTTCCGGACCAGTTAACTTGCAAAAATCATTTGACGACCTTCCCGATTGAGTTTTTGGCTGATTTTTTTTGTGGATAAACTAGACTTGATGGAGAACATGCCATAAAAATTTCATCAAAAAATTCCACCGGGAAGGCGGCCAAACGCCGCCGGCCGGACGGCGGTTCCTGTCCGGACGTCTGGACAGGATCAGGACTCTCTCAAATAAATTAATAAAGGTGAGATATATTAAAATAAGGAGAGAGAGTGTAAAAATTAAAATGTGACCTAGGTCACCATAGTGGGGAGAAATTGTGATAGGTTAAAGGGGATTAAGTTTTTGGAGAAAAGTGATGTGGAAGAGAGAGATGGGGTCAAAATCCACCACCATTGTGGATACTCTTATATTTACAATACTGTTTTCAACCACATAACACATGGTCTTCTTTCTTTGTAATGTTTTACTTAATACTAAGTATTTATTAACTTCTACTACCTCCGTAACTTAAAAACCTTCCCATTTCAACAGTAGGTAGATTAAGAATAGTGAAAGAGGATATGAATTATTGAGGGTATGATGGGAATATAGTGGAATAATGTGATGGAATGTAGGATAAATCCAAAAAAGTAGTTGTAATAATGTATTATTTTCAGAATTATTGAGGGTATGATGGGAAGATTTAGAAATGAGAAGATTTTTTTGTTACGGACGAAAAAGGAAAGTGGGAAGATTTTTATGTTACGGAGGGAGTATGTGATAGAACCCTCTATGATTATATACAAAAAAAATTAATTATAGTAAATCTCAATATAGTAAACCACAGTAGCAAAATCAAAAGCCCACATGAATTGAACATTGGGCACTATCCCCTCGCGCATCGCGCGTAGATATAACTAGTACTATTATAAGGGTAAAGTAGATATTTTAGTTATTTAAGTGACTGTGTTTAGTAATGATGTATTTAGTAATATAGTGACTGTGAATAGAATTAATCTAGCAACTCTCTGGTGCCACAACTCTCTTGCTGAGCACTATCCTCTGATGTGAAACTGCCGCAAGAAGTGTGTAAATTCTACACCTTGAAGAAAAATTCTGGAAGAAGAATTGAGCTTGGCGTGATTTCATCAAGTGGCTGGGAAAAGTTGGAGAAATTGAATCAAAGAATCCATCTCAGGAAGTTGGCAATTCCTGCAAATGGGAGATGGGAGTTGGTGATTCATGGAAGTTTGTAGAGCTACGGAAAATGGCTCTAGCTCACTAGCTGTATATGCCAATACAAGTAATTAGCAGAGGCGTAAGCTTCAGACGGATATAATGATGAGCTCGAGTAAATTCTGCTAGGGGTGTTGAGAAAATTCTGAGTATGGTGCGACCGCTAGAGACATCGTCGGTGTAAGGGCAGGAGAGGAATTCTAAAAAGTATTTTTATCTATAGCGTCATAGCGAAACGTGAGGGTGTAGTTAGCAAAAGAGGTGTTGTATATAAAATTACCCTTTGAGAATACTCCTCTCGGGCTCCATCCCGAAAAAATGTTCCCGATTTGACTTGGAACGCAGATTTAAAAAATGGAAATAAATTTGAAATGCATGATTGTGGTTGAGTAAGAAAAAGATAAATGAATGTTAGTCACACAAATTTTTTTAAAACTGGTAATAGGAAGAATTTTTTGGGACATCGCAAAAAATTAAGTGATAAGAATATTGTGAGGCAGAGAGAGTATATTTGAAGAGAAGTCGACGCAGTCAAGGGTGGAAGATAAATAGTTGAATACCTGGTTGAATATGGAAGATCGACAAAAATTCACAAGATGCGGGTCTCTACTCTTGGGCCTAACCATAAGAATAAATTGGATTGAAATTTGGAGCAATAAAAAATTAAAATAAATATACACAAAATTTTATTGAGAAATTGTTAAATTGGTATATTAACTTTCTCCATGTAGCATTAAGTGTACATCAACAACAACAAGCAACACATCCCAAAGAACCTAAATTTGATTTCTTTGTTGATTAAGTACGCCTTTAATTTTAGTTGCTTTATGTTGTTACTATCCTAGTAAGCAAATATCAATCCTATTTCTTCTTCCCTCATCTCCTCTGCATTCTTCTTTTGCTTTCTCTCTTCTTCTATGGGCGTGTTTGGAGAATGGCTTATCAGCTAAGTTTTGGCTTGTTTGACTACAATTAATGAGTTTGACAATCCAAATAGCTCAATTGTTTGTTTGGTAAATGGCTGGTTGCTTTAGCTTGTTGAACCCAAACATCTGAAAATGAAAACGCTAGCATGTGCAGCGTTTCGCGTTGGCTGCTCCGTATTTCCCCTCTATGCCCTCCGTAATGGCAGCAGTGCAGCACACCAGTTCACACATGTTATGCTTTATTATGATGTTTCACATCACTACATCAGCCCACGTTTATGCATCATCCTAATGGAACATTGATTAAACTTGATTTTATTACAAACTAAAAATTTATTTAGTTTTTTTTAATTACAATCAAACTTGATTTTTTAATTCCTATTATTCGAATTAATTTAAAATGTTAATTTTAATTTAATTTATTTTTCATGTAGTTGTATTTATCAATATCTAAAATTTAAATTATTTATACTCTGTAAGTAAATGTAGGTAATATTAGTTTTGGAAGCAATAAATACAAATAAAATCAAATACTAATGTCCTTATATGTCTTTTTAAACTCAAACAGTTATTCTTAAACAGCTAATTTACCAAACATTTGTTGACGAAAAGCTAACGTAACCAGCCGACTAAAACAGCTGATACAACCAGCTATTGTCAATCAGCTATCATAACCAGCTAACAGCTACAGCTAATAGCCGATTGCCAAACAAGGCCTATGTTTCTCTCTATCTTTTTATAGTTTTTAATTTTGTATTCTTCTTCAATTTATCTAGCTTCTTTTTTATTTTTAACTTTGCTCTTCTCTTGCTACAAAATTCTTTAAACATTGGTTTAAAATTGGGAGAAAGAGACACCTCTAAACTTAGTGGACATAAGAAAGAAAACATGAAAATTTCATATTCCTTTCTTGGTCATCAAGTTTTACAAAATCGTCCATTGTGAGAGTTTGAACTATTGATCAAGTTTTACATCGGTCCGTCCCGCTTATGTCAATAAAATTTGGTAAAGCTTGTGTGGTTATAAATCATTTTTAATATCAACCACATAAACTCATACTCCCTCCGTCCCTAATAACTTTGCCAAGTTTGACCGGCACGAGGATTAATAAAGTAAAAACTGTGTGGTTGAGGTTTGTGCAGAGCAGAGAGAATTAACTGGAACCACATATTCTTTAGTTAAAAGGGAAAGTCACAAAGTTAATGGGACATCCCAAAAAGAAAGTTGGAAAAGTTATAAGGGACGGAGGGAGTATATTTTTCTTCATAAGTGTGTCACATGCTCATGTCCCAATGTTAGTGCGACGAAGATAATATAAAACTAGAGGGTGAAAGACTTATGCATACCAAACATGCACTTGTTTTGCTATCTCATTACCTTTTATACCTTTTATAACATTAATGTATAAATAAATAATGAAAGAATGACAAAAAATATGTGACATGGGGGATAGGGTTTGGTAATGATCGTTAGATCTGCGACCACCATTGACGATGTCATGTGTCTAGGCTTCAGCTATAATGACATGGGCGAGATCGGACTAGGATAACAGATTAAAATGGGGGAAACCGCTTTGACTGGATAACGAGTATGGGGTGGGGATTGGGGAATATCTGATTTGTGTAAACAGATAATGGGGCGGTTATGGGTTTACGCTTACCCGCCCCGTTACATCCCCCGTTTAATTTGGATATGGTTTCCCGCACCATTACCCGATCCGCATAATTAATTTATATATTTTAATAGATTATGGATTTATTATTTAATATATATATATATATATATATTCATATATATATATATATATATATATATATATATATATATATATATATATATATATATATATATATATATATATATATATATATATATATATGAATAGCATATGACACTCATTCCCTAGAATACTTTCAAACAATATTCGGTTAATCAGCTATCCTCTGCAATTCTGGGAGTTGGTGCTTTAAAGCTCACCATTTTAGATTTTTAATTTTCAATATCATTCATCATCCTTCTTTTGTCTGCTTCTTCATTATTGAATTTGTTCTATCTGTCACAAAGAATTTTCCTACTTCTAGAGTTGATGAGTATTGTGTTTCGTACATCTAGAGTTGATGACTATTGGATCAAACGCGAAGCAGTTGGCCGGGAAAAGGGGAGAAAATGAGTAAAGGAAGCAGCGGAGCCGCCACGAAAGGTGGGAAGAAGAAGGGTGTGACCTTCGTTATCGACTGCTCCAAGCCGGTGGATGACAAGATCATGGATATCGCCTCTCTGGAGCAGTTCCTCCAGGAGCGAATCAAGGTCGGCGGTAAGGCCGGAGCGCTAGGAGACTCAGTTACCATCACCCGAGATAAGACCAAAATTACCGTCACGGCAGACTCCAACTTTTCCAAGCGGTATTTGAAATACTTAACAAAGAAGTATCTGAAGAAGAACAGTGTGCGAGATTGGCTGCGTGTTATATCCTCGAACAAGGATAAAAATGTGTATGAATTGAGATACTTCAACATTGCTGAAAATGAGGCGGAGGATGAAGATTAAGAGGTTGAATTACACCTTTCAATCTCTAGACACCATTGAATTATTAGTTTAAAGTGCGAAGCCGCTCATGTGGCTACAAAGCGGGAGATAGTTAAATGGAAACCGCCTCCTTTGAACTTCCTTAAGTGTAATGTTGCTGCAGCGATTTTCGAGGGAGACAAGCTGGTTGGACTTGGCTGCTGTGTTAGGGATCATGAGGGAAGGTTTTGCATGGCCCGATCTGCGTGGATGCGAGCGACATTGACTCCAATGGAAGCAGAAGCATGGAGCTTGAGGGAGGCCATGAGATGGATGAAAGAAGCGAGACTTGGACAGGTCATTTTTGAAACAGATTGTGAAAAAGTGGCAAAGGACATCTACTCTACCACGCTTGATGTCTCGGAGTATGGCTCCTTGTTGGAAAACTGTCGAGCTATGGTGATTTCTAACAATGATTTCCAAGTTGTTTGTACTAGGCGACAAGCTAATAGTAGTGCTCATATTCTCGCTAGAGCATCTACTTGTTATGCTTCTTGCAAGATTTTTGAATTTATCCCTCACTGTATTCTGAACATTATTAATGCAGAAATGAATTAAGTTTTTTCATTAAAAAAAAAATTAGTTTAAAGTGCTTGAATTTTCATTCCTGAGATAGATGTGCTGAAACAGCTACAAAAACTGAATTTTGGTGACTACGTTGTGAGCCTATCATTTGGTAAGAATGTTTTGTTTCAATAGTAAAAAAAAAAAGTTGATGACTATCGTGTTTCCTCTGCAATTCTAGGAGTTGGTGCTCCAAAGTTCACTATTTTAGATTTTGAATTTTCACATATTGTTCATTTGATTTCCGTGATTTTCTCTACACATTTTCCACACTGTGGCTCTCTTAATTTTTCATCCGGCTAAAGGGTCAAATAGGTACATGAACTAACTTAAAGTGTTCAATTAGCCCCTTATATAGGATGTTCTGCCCGGCCGTCGCCAATTGGGGCGGCGGTTCCCGGTGGAATTTTTTGATGAAATTTTTGAGCATCTTCATCATTAAGTCTAGTTTACCCATACCAAATTTCAGCTAAAAATTCAACCAGGAAGGCAGTCAAATGATTTTTTGAAGATAACTGCATAGTTAAACAGCGCAGTACATTTCAGAAAATCATTTGACTGTCTTCCCGATTTAACTTTTAGCTGAAATTTGATATGGGTAAACTAGACTTAATGAAGAAGATGCTCAAAAAATTTCATCAAACACTACAAAATTAATAGTTATTAGGCACTATATTAGTCACTCGTTAATTAGAAATGGGGGTGAGAAATCATATTAGTCACCACTTTAGTCACTTATAGAACGTAGTGCCTAATTCTTGGTGCCAAATTATTGTCACTCAATTAAAGTGGTGAATAATTTACTCACTTAATAATAAAGTGAGAAAATGGGTGACAGATTTTGCAAGTTACACCATGCTCGTTTCACTTTAATATATAATAAAATTATAGATTATATTATTATTAGTTATTTTCAATTTAGATTAGTGTTAGATGATGGAAATGGAAATTACGTTTAAGTAAATAAAATAACAATTTGAAATAACTAAATATTAATACGGAGAATACATCACTCAAAATTGAAAATATGCTAAGTTAGTCCATAACTATCAAGAACAAACAATTAATTCCCATCGTAAATATGTATACAATAATAATAAGGGTCCTTCTACTGTACCTCGAATAATTTGAAGTGTACCGTACATTTTGCTAAATGGACCACTACAAACACTACGTGTGGTCGTGTGGAAATGTTAAACTACAACAAAAAATAAATAAATTAATAATTGGAAGTATTTGCATTTTAGTCCTTCTGCAAACGGCTCTGGTTTTTTACCATGCAACAGCGGCACTCTTAATTCTTAAACTGATGAAACCCAGCATTCTCGAGTCTAATTAGTATGTTAACCGCATCTTCAATTCATTACATACGGTTTGGATTATATTTGATTGAGCCAACGTTTTAATGTCCATCTTCATCAGTTTTTTGTTTCTTTAACCGTAATTAGTTTCACTGGTTTTTTTTACCTTCAACATTTTTTTTAGAACTACCATGATCTCCGACAGCTAGGGTTGGGCGGTGAGTCAGTGATGAATAGGAGATAACATGGAGATAGATAGAGAATTCCAGATTATTCCGGTGATGAATTAAAGGCTACATCTATGGTTAGACTGGAGATAGGGAGTATGAGGAGGCCATTAACGGATCAAAAGTTGTTTGACCGTATATAAATTCTAAGTGGAATTTGAGCCTTGCCCTTATTAAATCCTTAAATAAACTTCGTTTAAGGATGCTGTATTAGTATATTACTTGGTAGTAATTTAAAGGAGTGAATGAGCAAGGACCACAAAGCAAATACTTGCTAGTATCAGTTATCCGAATATTTTATCACGTGTAGTGATCGTATTTGACCAGATAAGCAAATGCACCGTACCCTAGAAATTAATATATGCACTGTAGAATTTCCCTAATAATAATTCAAAGTTACATCATACTAGACGGAAAAAAGTAATTAATACAAAAATGAATTCTTAGACAATTTCTATATCTACAACAACAACAGCAACAATGAATCAAAATTTATCAAGTCGGTGAAACGTGCTTTATTGAACTCTGAATCGTCTATCAACTCTTGAATGATGGTAGTACATGTAGCTTCTTCATGAGTGTCAATTAATAATTCGTCTAAATCTTGAGAAAGCATTGCAGTAGAAGTGTTGGCTTGTATTTTGCTTCGAACATCCTTTGAAATTGCTCCAAAGAATTCCATCCTCATTCATAGATTCTGACAGCTAAAAAAACTTCCTGGCATAAAAAACATGACTGGTATCATAGACACAAGTACAGATTAGAACAAGTAATGGTTAATTTATCCCACTGTAATTTAGTGCGCTGAATGTCAACTGGGGAAATGGAGAAATTAAGATAGAGCCGATCGGGAGGATTAAAGTAGTGTAATACTTTTAAAAAGTGAAGATTAGTGTCCATTACCAAGTTCAATCACATTGATCGACGGACATGCCTGATATAGATCAATAGTTAATATCAGTTTTGGCAACAATAGTTAGTTGAGAATTCTGTTAAGAAAATGTATAGTTGGCAGAATTAGTTGACTAGTATAAATAAAGCCAAAACTGAGAAAATATGGACATCCTGTACAATTCTGATATCAATACATACTCGATCTTTCTCTACTTCTCTTATAATCTTCCAAATCCTCTATCTAAAGATATCACAGAAACTTTGTGCACATCTCTCGAAAACCCAATTCTCTACCCAAAAATGGAGTTTTCCTGTGATCTGCATCATTGGTATCAGAGCTTCGACTCCTGATCACCTCTGATTTATGCGTTCTCTTGCATTTCCTCCTCTTTTATGTTAAAGTTGTGTGATCAAGCTGGTGATCCTGGCACCACGCAAGAATCAACTCACGGTAGCGCAACTAAGTAGCATTATGGATGATAGGGTTTCTGCAGTGGAGAAGAAGCTTGAAGATCAAGCGATGTTGATGGCAGAAATCTTGTTAGCGGTTAAAGAACTGAAGAAACCAGCAGGGGAAACTTTCAAGAAAGCGGTAACAATAGAGAATTCGGAAGAAGACGGTGATCCGATAAGTAATCCAGAAGGTTTTCAGCCAGGTATCCGGACTAATTTCAGGATTTCTGGTTTTACCCCCAAACTGGAGTTTCCTGTTTTCGATGGAAAAAAACCTAGATCTTGGCTTAAGAAATGTTGTAAATACTTCAGTTTGTGTAAAATTGTGCCTGAACAACGAGTTGATCTTGTTAGTATGCATATGATTGGGAAGGCTGAAACCTGGTTTATCAACTATATAACTGAGAAGGAATCTGTGAATTGGACCGAATTTGTCAAGGATGTATGTGCTAGATTTAAAGATGAAACTGGTAGTAATGTGGTTGAAGAATTCAATAAATTGCAACAAACTGGTAGCTTGGAAGATTACCTTGATGCTTTTGAAAATCTGAGGGCTTTGATGGTTCAGAAGGATCATTTCTTATCTGATGAATACTATTTGGATAGTTTTATTGGGGGATTGAAGCCTGCTATTAAGCCATTTGTAAAAGCATTCAAGCCTAAGAGTCTAGCATCTGCTGTAGAGTATGCTAGATGTCAGGAAGATTCATTGCTGGCAACAAGAGCTAACCTGGGAACTGCAGCAACATTTAGACATGCAACCTTGAACACGTCTGTTTTTAATAGACCTGAGCAGAAAGGGTTATTGCCCTTACCAGCCAAACCTACTAGTCAGTTAGCATTGCCAATCAATAATCAGCAAAGAGCAAAGAATTATTTGAGTGCAGCTGAGAAAGCGGAGAGGCAAGCTAAAGGATTGTGCTTCTTTTGTGATGAACCCTATACAAGAGAGCATAAATGTAAATTGAGGAAGACTCAGCTGTTTATTGTGGAGGTATTGGGGACAGATGAGGAATCTGAAGTAAGTATGGAATTGGTGAATGATACTGAAGAATGGGAAGGGACTTTTGAAACAGAACGTGAAGTGGAACCCTGCATTTCTGTTAATGCCCTTGCTGGGGTCCAGGGGTTTCAAACAATGAGAGTCACATGTTATTATGGTAGAAAGCCAGTGCATATCTTGATTGATTCAGGAAGTACACATAATTTCTTGGATCAAAAGATGGCTATAAAACTGGGTTGCAAAATGGAGAACATACCTTGTCAGGCCATTACAGTAGCTGATGGCAATCACTTACCATGCCAGCTACTAAGTAAAGGGTTCAGGTGGCAATTGCAGGACACCCAATTCAATTCAGATGTGTTAATCATTCCTCTTGGGGGATGTGATATGGTGTTAGGGGTACAATGGCTGAGAACCCTAGGAACTATCAAGTGGGACTTTGCAAAACTACAAATGGAATTTTTGTATAAGGGAAGGAGGCATGTTTTGAGAGGGCTAGCTCCAAAAATCAAGACTATGGAAGGGTCCCCTTCTGTGAAGCTGCTGGAGAATGCTGTACAACTATGCTTCTTACAAGTATCTGAATGGCAACAATCAG